CTTCAAAGATAAGCAAGTTGTGCCGATCCTCAAGTCCTTGATCAAGGCAAAGAAGATCAAGCTCCCAGAATCAATACGACCTGAGGAGATGTCGAGAACGGATGATCCCAACTACTGTGCGTACCACAAGATGGTTCATCATCCTACCTCTAAATGCTACATCTGATAAGATCTAAGCTTTATTGGATGCATGTGTCTTTACCCCTTTAATCCTGATTATCGCTAGAGTAGGGGTAGTCTCGGTTTCTCCGCAAAACCATGTACTACCTTGATTCTTCTCTCTAACAGAGTCATGATGACTCAAAGCTCGTCATCAATCAGTTCCACAAAATACTATCACATTAATGATTACCTTTGATTGTTGATTTCCTTCGCCCGCCAATCATCTTCAATAAGATGGCGGGACCATAAAATACTATCACGTTAATGATTACCTCTGTTAGTCAATCCCTTTTTAGAATACTTTGTCAAGTATTGTTCTACCATGTGATGAATATCTACTTGTCACTCGATCAAGATAGTGATCTACCATGTGATGATTCGCTATCTGATCCCTTCCGAACATTCTATCTCCTTAGAATGGTCGAAGATAGTTGCCTACCATGTGATATGCATCTATTTCAATCACAATCGTTATACTCCCGTGTCACTAAACGACTTAATTTCCTCTAAATTCACCCACCAATCATCTTCAATAGGATGGTAGGTCCACTAAACTATCACGTTAACAATTACCTCTGATAGTCAACTCTTAGCTCTATATTGAAAATACTTTGTCAAGTAGTGTTCTACCATGTGATGAACCCCTACTTGTCACTCGATCAGGATAGTGATCTATCATGCGATGATTCGCTATCTGATCTTTTTCGAACATTCTATCTCTCTAGAACGGTCGAAGTAGTGGCCTACCATGCGATGTGCCTCTATTCTAATCACAATCATTATACTCCCATGTCACTGAAAGATTTGGTTATTTTCACCCCATCATTCCTACAAATAACGTTATCCATTGATAATGGCCTACCATGTGATGTGCCTCTATTCCAATCACAGTCGTTATACTCCCATGTCACTGAACGACTTGATTATTTTTACCCCATCATTCTTGCAAATGACATTGTCCATTGATAGTGGCCTACCATGTGACGTGCCGCTACTCCAATCACAATCGTTATACCTCCATGTCACTGAACGACTTGATTGCTTTCGCACCATCATCCCTACAAATAACATTACTCGCTAATAGTGGCCTACTAAGCGATGAGCCCCTATCTTCCCCCTTGTGACCTACCAAGTGATGAGTCACTATTCATCAACGATATCACCACACCCTAGCAGGCCTACCATATGAAGAGCCTCGCTTTCAAAACACCAGGTTGAGTTATTATACTGAACGACACAACCAAACTCGATTACAACTTAACTATTGTAATCATATTTAAACACTTAATCAAACGCCTCGAATAGCTAAGGATAGAGGAGAAATTTTAGCATTGAGCCTAAGGGAAACTCCTCGACAACTTACCATGCTAAGGGCAAAAGCATGACTAGTCTAACTCAAACAACAGTTGGTAAAGACAAATCAAGTCCGTTGATAGCTGAGGGTTTGCTAAAAATCCTAGGTGATGATCATTAGCTGCGTCTGAAGAGTTTGACTTCGCCAGAATGGCGAAGTTTGCTAGAAGGCTCCTCATTTTACCTGAATGGTGATAATTTTGTAGGTCTTAATATTTAAAGTATTTCAGACCCCATGCAACTTAATTTGGGTCTGAAAACTTTAAAGGGGGTTTTGTAGGTAAGAATAATTGCCTTTATTTTCTAGCAAAGAAGATCTAAGTTCGCCAGAAGGCTAACATTTGTCTGAAGTTCGCCTGAAGGCTGAACTGCGCCTGAACACTGAACTCCATCTACGAAGACTTAAGTTCGCCTGAAAGCTGAAGTTCGACCGCAAAGGAACACCGAACTTCGCCTGCAAGACTGAAGTGTGCCTGAGCATTGAAGCTCGCCTGAACAGAGTCAAGTTCCCTTGAATGCTTGACTCCGCCTGAACATTCAAGTTCACCTGAATAAAATAGAGCTAAGTTTACCTGATAACTTAGTTTCGCCTTTAGTTTCTCCTGAATGATCCATGCTGATCCAAGCTCGCCTGAAACTGGTCGAGCCTTGCCTGATAGCTTCGCCTACGAGGTTCGCCTGCATGCTCCAAGCTCACTTGCAAGCTCACTTTAACGCCCAAGTGCACCTAAACGAAGTCCGTCTGCATAGCTTGACCAAGTTAGCTACTAAAGCTTGAATTGTGGAAGCGGTTGCACCCACTTATCACGTTCCTAGGAAGTGGTTACATGTCATTTGTCTCTATAAATAGCCACTCATGGCTATAAGAAAATGGGGGCATGCATTAGAGAGAGCATTGGGATCCTTTGTGCACTCGACCTTTAACTTTCAAGCATCCTAGCTCGGGTATTCGAACTCAAAAGACCAAACTTCTACCACGCGAGGAAGTTTGCCCGCAACCTTGTTTAAATCGTCAACGGGAAGCAAACTTGACTCAAGCATCGAGCGAATCATTCTCTCGCCATCCAAAACCCACATTAAACAAAAGAGAGATCAAATTAACATTCTCTTCCTCTGTACTCGAGAGAGAGAGAGAGAGAGAGAGAGAGAGAGAGAGAGAGAGAGAGAGAGAGAG